TATATCATGACTGTATTAGACTTGTTACAACACCCTTGTACGTAATTAACAAGTCTGATAATGCCATTAAGATTGTTACATTCTCCTATCCGAGTTGACGTCATCAATTTTCATCTCACTATCTACAGATTTTTGCCAAAAATGGCCTCGGAATTGCAATCTTGATGCTCAAATTAGTCTATAACGAAAATTTCATGATGTAGCGGCGCTTTGTAAATTTTGTTTTTACTATACATTTGTATGGAATTTCCGCCGCGGTGCGTCCCGAATGTCCAAACATCATGAAATTTCACATAGACCAATTTGAGCATGAAGATTTCAATTCTGGAATCCATTTCTGCAAAATGTGAAGAATGATAACGCGAACTCGGATCGGAGCACAGTCAATGGGACGTACTTTTCGGAACACACCCTTACTTTCCTTGGCCGTAGAGCCTCGTTTTCGTGTACGTCCGGATTCACGAAAACGAGGCTCTATAGCCAAGGTTAATCAATGGGAATCAATGTAATGGGTGACGTATACGTTTCCGGAATGTTCGGAAAACTAAGGAATTTCTGAACTCGTGCAAAGGAATTCGCAAATTTTCAAATTCAATATGGCGGCCAATTAATTATCTGCTTGTGTGCAGGACGATTCCTGTTTGTTTATGCGATTACCTGAAGAAATTGTGGAGAAAATCTTGTGTTATTTATGGTTAAGGTCTGACCAAAACCTAGGGACACTCGTTTGTACTTTATGGAATAGACTTCTGCTCAGAATACGCAATAAACGACATGAAACGTTTTTGCAATCTGTAAAAAACGGCAAAATTTACTGGAGGAAATGTGCTAATACTTCACGTGTGAGTCCTGCTCCGAGATTTTCTCATGCTCTGTGTGTTTTGAAGGGAAAGCTTTGTATATTTGGTGGATGTTCGTCAACAAATACTGTCTACAATGATTTGTTTGTGTTTTGTTTGGCAGAGGAGAAATGATCAAAAGTTACCACAAGCGGATTTACTCCAGTACCAAGAGAATGTGCTACATTAGTCAGTTATTGCACTAAAAACAGCTGCATTATGATTCTTTTTGGTGGATGTTGTCAGCCGCCCAGATGTTCGATGCCGTCCAATGGCAAGTTTTTTAACGATGTACAAATTTTAAGTTTTGTTGACAAACATTGGACAGGGATGAGCTAGGTCTGACGAGAGCTATACGTGTCCGCGGGCTGGCCATTCTGCTTCTGTTATTGGTAATATCATGGTTATATTTGGAGGAGCACAGAGTGAAAAAAGGTCAGATTTGTATTAAGTTCAGCTCACTCGATCGGCATGTTTGACGCCGGCTGCCAGCCAGAAAATTTGTCTCTGGTTGCTCAGCTGCCAGCCGGGCTGTACTATAGTATATTATTGGTTCAAAAAATGCACACATTTTGGAGACTGGTTCTTGAATTTTTTTAATCAGAAAACCAACAAAATTTCATTAAATTTTGAAAAAACAATCGAACTGCATCTAAATTCATTTTCTTAATGTCTATAGCTACCTATATAACTGGTAAATACACAACAAAAACCCCAAATATAACAAAGGGCAAAATTAAAATTTATTTAATTGTGCTCACTTTGAGATTGATCCATAGTTAACTAGATGCTCAATCTGAGTGTTGTTATACCCGCTTGCCACCACACCTTACATGATATATTTATTAAGTAATTGTATATACAGTATACAGGTTGATCTTAGGCGCCACGATTTATGATTGTGTAAATATGTATGCTATATCTGTATTGAAATTGTCAATGTTATCTGCTGTATGAACACTGTAGTATTCAGTACTGCAACTGGGCACAGCCGAGCTGTTATCTATTCTTTAATACAGTAATAGAATGCAACACGGCTACCAGCCCAGCCTGTCTGCAGTGTACTATAGTATACCACAATACAGCATGGCTACCAGCTGAGGTTATTTAGATTAACTGTACATATTACACTGCTACACTAACAATGCAATACGGCTACCAGACTACCAGTTGAGCTCATCCGTTGATTACCAGACTAGTTAACTATGGACGGACATCATGCGTTCAAATCTCAGAGTGAGCGCAGAGGAATTTTGATTTTTTTCTTTGCCATATTTGTTTTTTTTCTCTTGTTTATTTACCTGCTATATAGTGTAGCTAGTTACAGATATTTGGAAGAAGACTTTAGATGCAGTCTAATGTAATTTTTGGCTTACCGATTTTAAAAAATTCTAGAACCAGTCTCAGAAATGTGCATATTTTTTGAAGCAATAATATACTATAGTATAGCCCGGATGGCTGCTGAGCAATCAGGGACAAGTTTTCTGGTTGCAAGCTGGCATCAGGCACGCTAATCGGGTGTCCAGCTAGTCAGCTCCAGAAAGTTTTTAATTTTATAATTAAAAGCCTGGAGCCGATTGTATAAAAATGTAGTTCTCTAAGGTTTTTATTTATTATATAAAGTATAGTGCTTTATAGAGATTTTCAGCACTGAGAAAAGTGATAATCTCACATGTGAGATTATTCATGATAATCTCACATGTGAAAATTATCGCTTTTCAATTATCGCTTTTCTGTAAAAATTATTGCTTTTCAAAGACTGTCCTTTATGTAACAAACAGAAAAATACATGGGTGCTTGGAAATACCAAATTTATTTCTTGTGTTGAACATGATACAGGTAACTCACTCGTTCGCTGTGCTCACTCGTGAAATATCATGTTCAACACTCGAAATAAATCTGGTATTTTGTGCACCCATTCTCTATTTATTACACCTGAGCAGGAACAGTTGTAACTACAGACACTGATCTCTGTACCTCAGTTGGTTGGAGTGCTGCACAGAATTGCAGGATTGCAGGTTCCTGCCAGAGGACCTTAGTCTATAAGTTGCATTTTTTGCAACCGCTTCTGGTTACTGTAGGTTTAATAAATGTATAAAAATTCACACTGGAAGTTTCCATCTACAAAACCCTTCAACAAGTAGTTATATTGAGTGTGGTGGCCAAAATCCTGTCAATCATACCTGTTGATTTTATTTTTGTGGAGGTAGGCTATGCCACATTCTATTACCCAGAGCTTGGCCTGTTCATATGGGCAAAATTTATCCCGGTTAGTGAGAAAACTTTTCGACAAGTTTACAAGCGAGGTCTGGCCTTGTATAAAAATAATATGAAAAGTTACACTGCGTTCATATGAGACGAAAGTTTTCCTGTGTACTGAGTTCTTGCTTGTTGACAGGCTAGATCTCGGTGACTGGGATGTTTTTTCCCATATGAACACAACTTGCCCGCTTAGCGGGATATCCTTCTGTTGTGTCAGCGACTTTTGAATTCAATTGATGTTCAGTGCTACGTCACAGCCGGAAATTTTTCCCAGTAAGCAGGATAACTTTTACAGTCCATATGAACAGAACAAAAGTATTTGGCTAGTCAAAAAGTTTTCTCGTTAACCGGGATAACTTCTGCCCATATGAACAGGTCCTTACACAATGTCAACAGAACATGACGAGGGTTGAGGGGTACGAGAATGGATTGCGCTGCTGCAGATAAAAATGTAGCCTCTGAACGAGAACAAAATGCCAAGTGTGCCACTACACTAGATAACTAGCTCAATTTTTTGGAGTTGGCAACAACACAGCAAGTAACTTCAGACTTACATACCTAGTGGCTTGGCTGGCTCACCTCGCATCACATACTCTTTGAGTTAGGCAGTTAGCCCACAACTCAAGGCTTAGATGCCTAGCTTTTTCATGCTTTTCAGAGTTATACTGTAGCTAGCTCCAAATGGTTTTTGGAGTTAGCTAGTAACTGCAGGCTTAGATACCTAGCTCCTAAATGATTTCTGGAGTTATACCTATAGCTCCAAACACTTTTATGGAGTTAGCCAGTAACTCCAGGCTTGGATACCAAGCCAGTAACTCCAGGTTAGATAACTAGCTCCTAGATGATTTTTGGAGTTATACCTAGCTTCAAATGATTTTTGGAGTTAGCCATACAGTTACTCCAGGCTTAGATACCTAGCTCCTAAATGATTTTTGGAGTTATACCTAGCTCCAAACAAATTTTTGGAGTTAGCCAGTAAACCCAGGCTTGGATACCAAGCCAGTAACTCCAGGTTAGATAACTAGCTCCTAGATGATTTTTGGAGTTATACCTAGCTTTAAATGATTTTTGGAGTTAGCCAGTAACTCCAGGCTTAGATACCTAGCTCCTAAATGATTTTTGGAGTTATACCTATAGCTCCAAACAATTTTTTGAAGTTAGCCAGTAACTCCAGGCTTGGATACCAAGCCAGTAACTCCAGGGTTAGATAACTAGCTCCTAGACTATTTTTGGAGTCATACCTAGCTTTAAATGATTCTTGGAGTTATACCCAGCTTCAAGGGATTTTTGGAGTTAGACAGTAACTCCACAATTCATGTTTCAACTCAGTTTTGAATTACACAAGTTACTTAAGTGTATATTTTGGTTTGGAGTCTAAGCCCTTTAGACTTTGGAGGTAGTGTCGCTCCATAACTTCCTACTATCTACAGGCATGCTGTCAATACATGCATTTATTAGATTGATGTATATTTAATAGATGTAGACATTATTAAATGTATAAAATTCACACTCGATATTTCCATCTATAAAACCTTTTTACAATCAGTTGCCACTCAATGGGTTAACACATGCAGCACTGAATCTCTGTGGATGATTTACTGTAAAATACATACTCTCTCGCGATTTTGCATGTTATTACTGTACATTTTTTTAGCTTGCAATCACAGATAATATTATTTTAATTGTATGATAGATTATTTCACATTCTGGTGTTAACCCAATGTCACTGGGTTGCATTGCACTATACTTTAATACTATTTTATTTTAATAAAATAGACGCTGTCTGACCAAAAATATATATTTATTACAAGCTTTCGGCTACCAATCTGTAGCCTTCAACGGGTATGAGTGTATGAAATATGAAACTATAGTCTATTATTGTATATACAGAAAGATTAGCATAAGTTATCGATAAGGGAAATTTTAGGACCCGGAAAACTCATGGCATACAGCCTTAACAACTGATGCTGACAACAATTCATGTCCACTTCCCGGACAATATACTGTTCTTATAAAAAAGCAGTCATACTTGACAATACACACTCATATTTCATACGCAATTATGCTAATCTTTCTGTATATACAATAATAGACCATAGTTTCATATTTCATACACTCATACCCGTTGAAGGCTACAGATTGGTAGCCGAAAGCTTGTAATAAATATATATTTTTGGTCAGAGAGCGTCTATTTTATTATTATGTTTCATCCTGGCCGCGCATCTGCCTCTATTTTTTCAACTATTTTATTTTGTCTGATGCATGCCAGAGACTATTTTACCATCAAGGAGAGAGCATTTGCACTCAATGGGTTAAGCAAATAAACTTCCTATTTTATTGGAATTGCTTCCAATAATGAAATATCTTACATATAATGGCAGAAAAAATTGCAAACTGAAGATATTAGATTGTAAAAAATAAACACGTATTGCGTATGATCGCCAGGTGTGAAAAAATATTTTACTTCCTGGGACTCCAAGAGAACATTGAAACATTTCGGTGAATAATCAAGTAAATGAACACTTGGATACACAGTGTTGATACAATTGTCTCACTGTGGCACTAACAAAATATCACATTCTATTTTAACAGGAAAAAATTTAAGTGCACTGAGAATCTTAGTAATTCTTTTAGAAATATTTGTAAATATTATTCGAGTGCTTATCAGGTTTAGGGCAAATTTTGTGCCCGAGTACACTACACCAACACAACAAAATATCACTTTTAGGAATATTACATTTTAGATATTAATTACATGCATCAGGGGCAGGGTCTTAGCTAGAGGGCCGTGTTGGCCGTATTATCGCGGGCAAAAATGGAAAAACACGGCTAGATAAAATGAACGCGGCTTCATTACTTTTATAAGGCTGTGTAGGTTCATGAAATAAGGTGTTGCTACTTACAACAAACATGCAGAATTTCTTCCTATTTACGTCGTAAGAAAGTTTGTAAAATCTACTGTAATTCTTGAAATTGGCAAAAGTGATCCGTGATGTTTTAATGTTTTGATGGATAATGGGAACCATATGGTGTTAAAATGGCTTTAAATACCCCCAAGAGTTGCTGAAATAACTTACTATTTCATTGTCAGTATGCGATGTGAGCGTATGCTCGCCTTGTATTTGGTTGCAAAGCATACAACAACCACAGGCATTGTCTGTTGTTGGCGAGCATGACTAGTACCGTGAATTTGGCCATTCAAGGTAATTGACATGGGCACACCCTGGTCATTTAGAAACACGCCCAAGATCTAAAATCCTAGCTAAGACCCTGATCAGGGGTCTCATCCTAAGGTAATTACCGATGCAAAAAAAGGGCACTAAGTACTAGGGGGCACTACCATGTTGACCCGAAAATTTTTAAAATGAGGTTCAGCCCAGACTGAGTAAAAATGTATTTGGCATACAACATCTGTTCCATTATTCTATAGTCTATATATTTATACACTCTCACACTATTAAGATGGATGAATTTTTTTTATATTTCAAATTATAAAAAACGTTTTAGTTTTACTCTTGATCGATACAGCTCAATTTTACATCCTCGGCTCCGTTTAAATTGCTGTGCTCTTAATTATTATTTATTTAAAATAAGCTGCATTCCGTCACCAGTTTGTAAATGCGTTTTTTATTGTGAATCTGTAATTCATTATTTTCTGTATTGTCCAAGATATGCTGCTCCTAGATTAATTCAGCTCTCAGCTGTATTAGAAATTTTAGGTGACAGCTGGTATAGGAAATCAGACTCAACGAAAGTACGAATACTTCTAAGTGGTGAAGATGAATTGTCATTAGCTCAAAATAGATACATTTTTTCCAGTGTGCAACAGTTTATTAGGCCATCCAGACGTTTTGTTGGCTGTGCTTATGTAGATGAATGTGATGAAATAATCCAGCTGTCTCCTGACTGATGTTATTTATTTAAATACAACATATAAATAGGCGTATAAGCCCCCTTGATGAGCTTATTAGCTCTTGTGGCACACGTTTCTCAAAATATGTTAAATAAATAAAAGATGGATGCACTTATTTTATTGTATTTCAAAGGTCATACCTACAGTACAGTGACATTCTTTCATTGCTTAGAATTTTTCCTCTCAATTTCTCCTTTTATCTAAATTTTTACAATTACCTTTTTTCTTCTTTTTTGGGGAAATATTTTGTGGGAACTCGAAAATTTTCTGGTACACATGGCCCTGTGCTCCGATACTTTTTCATCCCCTGATACTCGATACCTACATTATTTTGCCAACTAAAGCCATCAAGTACAATGTACAGATTTTTTGAAATTTCTTTCCGAAAGGCGTCAATATGATATTCAGCCTTCTTTCAGTTAAGTGACCGTACAAATTTCGTACAAATGGCCCGTCCATAACACCTGTTTTAAGACACACCGGACGCGATCGGCAACGCGACGCGATTTTTTAGTTTTTGAAAGTTAATAAAACAGCCAATGAGATCAAATTTTAAAAGATATTTAGACCAAATAACTCAAAATGTTACAACATTAATTTTCTAAATATTTGGAAAATTTAAACTAGGATCAAAGTGACAGTTGGTGCTTCGGTGGTGAAGTGGTTAGCGCACTTGCCTTTCACCTCTAAGATCGCAGGTTCAAATCTCAATGAGAACTTCTCAATGCGACTCGAACCCAGTCCTCATGTGAAAAGAGTAAAAAGTCAACGCTCTGCCGAAAGTCGTGGATTTTCTCCGGGTACCCCGTGTTTCCTCCCACAGGGAAAGTTGACAGGGTGCATGGCTTAGGCACATCGGTCTGTTTCACGTCAGTCCGGTTCTATCTATCTATTTATAATGTAACCAGTCACTGAAAAGCCCTGATAGGGAGTGTGCTGTGAAATATCTGTATCTGTTGTCGAATCGCGTCCGGACCTTAATACGACGAATTTCGGTCCCGTCAAGTGCAATTCAAACGATAGATAATGAAGCTTAATGAGGTTTATCATATTGCATTTGACGCGACCAAAATTTGACAGCTTTAAAACAGGCCCAGGATCATCAGGCTTGATGTCAAGCTGGCGAAGCCAATAATCAGTATTTTTTATAGGTTTTCAGATGTGTGGTGTTTCAATCTAGAAGATAGGAAATGGCATCTTCCAACCATTAACGGAATTTAACCCATGGGAAGATTTGGTCATTCCCAAGTAATGTACTCTTGGTATTTTTTGCTATCGATTTTGGAGTTTTAGGATTGTAGTTTTATTATAAACGAACCAACATTATATTTTAATAATTCAAACCGATCATCAGCAGATTATAAGATTTCCATAACGCAAACTTACATGTTGATATGATTATTTGCGCTATACATCAAGAATCACGTCAGAATATTGCTACAAGTTTAATTTTGTCCTACATTCTCGAGGATTTTTCAAAAAAGGGTGTTGTTGCTTTATAGAGGTTACTTCATTTAATGCAGAACAAAAGGCTTGTAACTTTGCAACTAAAAGCCTGTAAATCTTGCGCGAACAGTTTTTCTAGCCAAGACTTTTTAACTTTCTGTCCTTAATATTTGCTCTCTCAATAATACTATAACATTTCTTTTGCAGGTTACGTTGAACAATCGAGATATTCTAATCATGGGTGGCTGTGGACATGCAAATATGGTATGACATCAAATTTTTTGTACTTTATCAGGGCTTTCAAAAGAAGCCGGCGACGCAATGTTGCGTTTCGTAAACCGCCAGGGTCAGCAGTAACAATCAGTGTCACCACTTTCAGCGTGCGTCACGTCCGGCAAATATGAAGTGTGATACTCACCGTGCGAAACACTGTTGTGCTAGCATCTGTAGTAATCTTGTATCGTTTGCTCGGTGTCTTATTAAATTTCG